TAATACCCATTTATTTTCAAATACTCAAATCCAACTACTGTAAGTTTAGGACTACACATAAAATTTTGAATAGCATTATATCAATAGAAGCCTGGGGGTGAAAAGAAAAATAATGATTACCAATAATAATTTAAAAGCCTATAACTTTTGGAGAATGATTACTGTGAAAAGATACATAAAGTGACTTTACTTTCAAAAAACTATATGAAGAAAGAATTAAAGGAGTGAAAATTCCAATGATAGTGCGATTTTTCTCTTGACTTTTGTGGGAAAGACATGGAATCCTAACAGAAACCAGAATCTTTGGTGCACATTTTTTCCCCTAATGCAATTGTTACAAGAAGAAAGCAATTTAAAATAATAATAATTTTTTTTATTTCAGTAAGAAAGCAAAATCCAGTAGAAAAAAGCATTCTTTCATATACCAAAATTATCACAATTTGTCTAAATAAAGACCTTAATTCTATTTAAAAACTTTAGAAAATATGTAATCACAGATATGAGTTTTATAAAAATAAAAGCTCAAAGTCTTAAGAATATGCAAGTTTTATTGAATCTAAAAAATAAGATTTCTGTGTAGGACAGGGAATATGGTCAATAATATTATAATAACTTTATATGGTGACAGATGGTAACCACACTTATTGTGAGCATTTCATAATGTACATAATTTGTGAATCACTACCTTGTATACCTAATACTGTATGTCAACTATTCTTCAGTAGAAAACAATTTAGGAAGAGATTTCTGGAGTACTGTAGTATAATGGTAATCTATATCATCATATCATAGTAGAACTCACATATGAAATACATTTTAGTAAATACAATATTTAAAACTCCTAAGAACAGCTTTGATACTACTTGAATATTATAAAAATATGTGAACATGACTATTATATGAGAGAGAAAAATGAAATTACTCTTAAGTTTACATAGTATTTCTCTAAGAAATGGAATGCTAAATGCTTATCAACAATCAAAATGTTAAAGCATGAACTTTTCTATATAATCAGAAATATTTTGATAAAAATGAAACAAACATGGTTCTAATAAAAAGGAATATTTTATAACATCCAACTTCATAAGAAAATGTTCAGGATAAGCTTTTAACTACAAATACATATTCATGGGATTTACTCCTCTTCTTCACAAGTTGAAGTAGAAGTTCACAAGTTGCATAATTATTACCTGTAATGTGTTCTTCCTACAACTGAATTTCCTTCTCTCCACCGAACCGTCACATCAGTGGGATCAAGTAAGCCTTCAAAAATGTGCTCCCAGAGATAAAACCTGGTATTAAAAACAAAGACAAAAAACATTTACTAACTGATTTTTTCTGGTATGTGAGATGTAGTTCTGTTCTGTTCTTTTATATATTTGAAATTAGGAAACCAGACTTTATTCCTCTTTGGTCCTTTGGCAGACAGTTCTACCAAGCAATAGCTCAAAATCATCAATATGGCAGCTAATGTATGAGTGACAGAACTCAGAGGTTGTCAGTGTAAAATGTAGCAAAGTGTGGGTATTTTAAAGACAATAATGTCTCTTACTCAAAATTTGTAAAACCTCTAATTATCATTGGACCTTTACTATGTATTTCATTCTGAAATGTGTTAATATTATAATGTAAGTTATTATATTAGAACTGTGTCTATATTACAACAGAGGGGATTCACCATTCTGTGCCAAACACAACCAGAAGAGTTCATGTATATACATATACATTCAGTATTTCAAGGAGACAGTAACTCCTCCTCTCTTAAACACATATCCCTCACTGTATGATGCCTTCTGTAGACAAATGTCATTCCATCTGTTTTCTTAGGGGAGCCCCTGATGTTTTGATTTCACCTCAATGAAAGCTCTGAGAATAGAAGAGAGCAGTGCCACACACGAGGTCCTCTGTAGATAACCTGGGAGCCCTGTTCACTTTTGCTTTTTGTTGCCAGTACATTTGGTGTTATATCCAAAAAATCACTGCCAAGATCAATGTCAAGCCTCCCCCTATGATTTCCTCTAGGAGTCTTATGGTTTTAAGATCTTATATTGAAGTCTTTGAGTTGGTTTTTGTATATGGTGTGAGGTAAGGGTGCAAATTTGTTCTTCTGCATGTGGATATGCGTAAGTCCATCCACATCTTCAATCTTCCACCTTTGCTCCTTCTGGGCTACCGATGAACCAGCTCAGCCACTTGGTGGGACTTATAAGTCCACGGTCACCCACTCCTTATTGGGCCACTTCTCTCTCCACATAAAGTGAATGAGCAGATGCTCATTTTTTTGCCAAAAGCTCTGCTCATTGGGAGGATTTTCCATCACTAACATATTTCAAGGCAAACCTAGCGATGCTGCAATACAGTAGCAGTCCACCTTCAGTCAGCACTAATGTTCCAGGCTTATCTCTCTGTTTTTTTTTTTCTTTTGCCTGGACATAAGGAAATTCCAGTGAGACAACAAGCATGATTTGAGTGAAAGGCATCAATATTGTAGTGGCAGGTACTTAGCCATAAGTTTGTTCAGTTTATTTGTATCCCCTGCTCTTATGAAGAAGAGAGTGGATCTTTCTTAAAAGTCCTCATCACAACAAAAAATACTGTTTATGTGAGGTGATGGATGTTAACTATGCTTACTGTGATCATCTCTTACTATATATATATATATTGAATCGTTATGTTGTACATCTGAAATTAATGTTATACGTCAATTATATCTCAATTAAAAAAAGATAATAAATTTGAATTGTTTAAGCCAGTATATTTTTGGCAAATGGTTATGGTAGCTATAGGCAAATATAAATTATGGCACCTGGAAATGGGGTGCTACTATAACATACTTAAAAATCTGTAAGTGGCTTTGGAAGTGGGTAATGGTGAAAGGCTGAATTTTGAGGTGCTTGATAAAAAAAGCCTAGATTAGATTGCCTTGGACAGATTATAGGTAGAAATATGGATGCTGATGGCCCAACTGGTGAGAACTCAGAAGGAGCACAGTAAAAAAAGCCTGTATCATCTTGGAGAATAACTAAATCATCATAAGCAGATTTTTGGTAGAAATATGCACATTAAAAGTGCTGCTGGTGAGGGCTCAGAAGGAAATGAGGAACATGTTATGAGACTGGAGAAAAGGGAATACTGGTTATACAGTAGAAGGCTTAGCTGAATTGTGTCCTGTAGTTAAAATGATAGGCTTGGATATTTAGTTGAAGAGATTTCCAAGCAAAGAGCTGAAGCTGTGGCCTGGTTTCTTCCTGCTGATTACAGCAAAACGTGAGAGGAAAGAGAAGACTGACAGAAGAACTGTTAAGCAAAAAGGAACCAGGACTTGATGATTTAGGAAATTCTCAGCTTATTCAGATTGCAAAAGAGGTGAAAAACTGGGAGATATGCTTTCAGGAAAACATGCTTTAAAAAGGTGGCTGAGGCTGTAATTGCATATCCTTTTACTAATGCCTCAGAAGGATAAAAAGGTCAGAATATTCAATTACACAGAGTGCTTTTGAAGATATCTGATGTAATTTACAGATCTCCTCAGCCATCTCAGCAGAAAGCAGAAATAGAGATGGGATTTCCAGGGAAGACCTATGGAAAAACGCTGGTATAATGGAGTGAACCCTTGTGGCATACATAGGAGACCCACAAGTGTTTTGAGAATGTTGTATCAGCAGAAACACTGCCAGCTTGGACTAAAAAGGATGGAGAGATGTTGAAATGAAAGAAGGCTGTTGGACTCCAAAAGTCCTACCAGCAGGAAGCAGGCTGATAAAACTACTGAGTTGCAAATATATGCTACCCTTCACAACAAAGGAAATGTACTCCAAGGGCGGGGGAGCTGAATGGCTGGAAGTAATGCTTTGAGCCACAAATTATTTCCTGGCCTTGAAACCTCATGGAGTTTTGCCTGGTTAGATTTCAAATTTACTTGACCAGTGACTCCATTTTCCTCCCATTTTCTTCCTTTTTGATGGTAATGTCTGCAACTGGTATCCAATGATTGTGCCTGGAGACTAGGTTGATGAAGGTAATGTCTGATAAAACTCATCTGGCCACTCAGATAGACTGAGAAAAGTCTGAAAACATGAAAACCTGTTAAGACATAGATTTAATTAAAAACAAGAATAGGAAGTAGGAATTAAAGGAAAAAATGAATATAGACATTATAAAGAAAAAAATTGCTACAACTTGACAATTAGAGGCCTGAGTCTGGGTACTTGAAATTTAGAAGTCAGTAGTAATTTTTAAGGATGTATATTTGTAGTCAAGTTTGAATGAACTTATTAAACTCCATGGGCTGGGCATTATTCTCCGTTTATTTTCCTCTCATCTGGTACTTTCTATCCATATCTCTTGTCATACATACATCCAACTCATGTTTACAGGCCAAATAAAGATCTTTCTGCTTCACTAAATTCTTTGACTCTTCTAACCCTCTCTGAGGGCCCCATTCTTTCATTGAGCATAATATATAACTTGGAACACTAAACTTTCACAGAAAAAATGCTTTTGTGGGCAATCAAGTTTAATCAGCGACATATAATATATCCTTCTTGGACATTCACAATGAACTCTGGCATATTAAAGGCTCTGAGAGAGGCCTGACATAAAGAGCCTTGTTTTACTTTAAGTTCAATGTTTCCCAAACTTACTTGGCCATCAAGGGCAGGGGCCATATCTTATACTTGTATATCAAGCATCCAATAAAACTGTGCTCTGGTAAAACCAACAATGGAATATGTTTGTGCCTGTGTGTCTATGTAGGTAAAATTGTAATATTTCCAGAATATCTCACCTGGCTTTAGTATATCTGCATATCAACAGGCACTCAAGGGTGGAGAGAAGTATGGCTTTAGTGCATTTGCATCATTCTTCAGGGGCAGAGAGAAGTTCATCTCCATATAATGGGTAATTACCTGGGCAGCTGAGGGCTTATCTGTACCTGAGAGGCGGGTGGGGGGGCAGGAGGGGGCACGGTTTTGCTTCTGCTGGAGCAGGAAAGAGAAGATCCCGGGATGCAGTTTGTAAGCTTAAATAAATGGATTTTAACTTTATTTCTCCTTTTAACTGATTTCAGTTTCACAGGTATTTTGCCCCAGGATTTCCTTTCCCCAGACATACAGTCTATTTACATACATGTTTTCTAAGGAAAAGGAGAAATGAAAGAGAAAAAGTGAAAAAGTACATCATAAGTTAACAAATGATGAAATAAACTATAAATGTATTAAAATAAGGTGAATTGAATATTAACAAAGTACATTTCATGATACTTTGACATGTCTTAGCTCTAAACATTAACTTACCAATGACAGTCTTTGCCCCAGATTTGTACATGGAAGTCTGTTTTCCCTTTTGTGGATTTATTTAATATTTGAAGGCTAGTTTTAAGTCTGTGTTGTTGCTCATATTTTTCATCTCCTTCCCAAGGATTCCATTCTTCACTTTCCAAAGTAAACTGCTCTGTTTTAAACAGAGAGGAACAGTGTTTATTAGTCAGGTAGAGCTGCAGTCGAAGATGAATTCAAGCCATTTAAATTAGAT